CTTCCTTCCTTCCTTCCTTCCTTCCTTCCTTCCTTCCTCCCTCCCTTCCACATGTCTTCATGGCTCCATAGATAACTGTAATTGTTAGTTCTAGTTAGAGTGGATGCATTGAATCAGTAGGACTTACCTAGGTGTCGACCTTAGAAGTTCCATTTATTCTTTGAGTCTAATTACAGTTGGACTAACAATTGGATTATACATTGTGTAATTATATAATGATACCTAATGTGGTTTAGCGGATAGTGTGACGGACTAGGACTCAGGAGGCCTAGATTGGAATCCCTGCTCGGCCATGGAAACTCACTGGGGATGTAGAACTGGTAAAGCCGTTCCTTAAATATCTCACTTACCTTGAAAGCTGTGTAAGGGTCACTGGTTCTGACTTGACAGCATATAACTACAGCAATGATATGTAGTTATATATTTAAGGCATGTGTTTCAGCTGTCTATGAAAGAAGCAGATATGCCAAAATAGGGCATATTTCAGACCATTTATATGGGCAATGAATATCTGCATTTACCGCTCCATACCGTCAGATGAAGCCGTTCATGTTCTCTAAGATATATATGTGTTTCACCAGTGTAAGCAGTTGAAATTTCCATGAATGTAGGGAGATTTTTAAAGGTGTAAATGGTGGGTTTTCTTACAACTGAAAACTGTTAGATTTCTCACAGAATACAGTTTTTTAGAGTTTTGGAGGGGCAAAGGCACAGATAGCAGCTGTTGAAGAATATACTTCAGATAATTTCCTTTTCTGGTTATCTTTGTGTATGTTTGTTCTTCACCCTATTGTTATCACTCTTGTTGTTTAAACATTAGTGTATATAATACAATGGTGGTTTATTGAAACAGAACAATTTCATTTATGTTGGACCAGCTGGTCTAGTTAATCTGTTGTATTATTCACTGTTTCCACCAGGGGTTTCTTTTAAAAATCTTGAGCTATTTTAGAGAGACAACTGTGAAACTCAGAAATTCCATTATCTAGTAGATAAACTGAAACAAAAAGTAAGGGACTTCATAAGAGACATGGAAAGGCAATTACCCATCCATAATCTGACCTTATTTTATGATTAAATTTAATTTTCTGCTGCTTAAAAGTCAATTTATCATGAATATCTTCTCCCAAAAGAAGAGAGAAATTCTATTTTGACTGTGTTATAAATAGTGTTGTATGTTACTTGGAAACGGAGGACTGTCTCTTGCATAACAACAAGCAGACTGTTCTGAATATAAAAATAAATTATGCTCAAGGACTATTAAAAGAATTATTGATATGAAATTACTTTTCTTGGTTGGTTATCCACCTGTCTTTCTATGTCTTCACTTTCCTAGCTTGAAAAAAGGGATATTTCAGTTTGGATCTCTGCAGTAGCCACACAGGTTGCATGCTGTTGCTTTAAATGAAATCCTTTAGATGGTATCTAAAGAGTTATATAAATGATGAATATTAATAATATTTATATTTAGAGATCAAACTTTTTTGGATATGATCCTTTTCCACATGAGGGACCTATGAGGATCATGCACCTATGAATAGATCAGAGCTAGACAAAGTGCGGCCTGAGGGCCACGTATGGCCCGCGAGCAGCTCCTGTCTGGCCCGCCGGACATCAAAACCATTTATAGCTTTTTGTCTAAAGTTGATCAGTTGCTTATCTTTAACTACTTCCAAAAAAACCTCTTTAGTATTTGTGAAGATTAACAAGTTTAAAATAAAAACAATAATAACATCACAGTTTAATTTGATTTTTAAGTAAAGTTGGTTCGGCCCCCAAACACAGTTCAGATTTTTCATGTGGCCCCCCCTATAGAAATTAATTGTCCACCCCTGGAATAGATGAATAGCAGCTTCTCTGGCACCACCTACAAGGAAGCAATTCACAAGAGTAGTGTAGAAAATGGGAGTCCTGTATGTACTTTCCTGTAATTCCAGCAGCTAAAGAGAAAAGCAGGATGGCCATACAGGAGGAAGGTACCCAGGGGAGATGGGCTGTTCCGTCCACTGTTCTTGCAGATACAGTGGTGCCTCGCATAACGTTTGCTTCGTTTAACGTTTTTTTCGCTTAACGTTTATTTTTTCAGAGTCAGATTGTGCTTCGTATAACGTTTTTCCCTATGGGCGATTTTCACATAGCGATTTTGGGACCATGCTTCGCTTAACGTTTTTGGTTTTAGGTCCCCTGCTTCACTTAACGATGTTCATTTTTTCAATTACAAAAGTGTCTTAACATGTTGAAAAATGGTTTTAAATGCTTGGAATCGTTAGTACACTTTCTAAAATGTGTGCATACTTAATTTGGCGTTGATCTGACTTTTCGTTAATTTTTTGTGAATTTTTTTCTCCCCCATAGGAAACAATGGAGCTGTCAGATTTTGACAGCTGTCAAAAGTTGGGGGGAAAAAATTCACCATAAATTAACGAAAAGTCAGATCAAAGCCAAATTAACTTTTGCATCCGTTTTAGAGGGTGCAGAAGCTAATCCAAGCATCTAAAACCAATTTTGACCCTTTTATGACTCACTTAAATTTGCAAAAATTGACTTCGCAAAGCCATTGAAATGTATTGAGTCGGCTTCAATACATTCCAATGGAGGAAACATTGTATCGTTTAACAATGTTTCCTATGGGTTTTTTCGCTTAAGGACGCCAATCCGTGCCTATTGGAACGGATTAACCGGTTTCCAATGCATTCCTATGGGAAATGGTGTTTTGCATAAAGTTTTTTTCGCATAAGGTTTTTTTTTTGGAACCAATTAAAAACGTTATGTGAGGCACCACTGGGAAGGGGAGAAGGCTCAGTTGAGCCCTGTGAGCCAGAAAAAGATTCCACTTACAGTAACAAGTATCCAAATGACTAGTTGCAGATGCACTCACATGTGTTGCAGTCTTCCAGGCTGTTTATTTTAGAGCACTTTATTTTGAATAGGCATTTTGAGGATTGGAAGGCAGCGATGGGGCAGGACCACAGTTCTCCACATGGTGACCCAGACTCAATTCACCCTTCTACACTTGTTCACTTGAAGAAATATTCACACAGTAGCATTCCTGAACCTCCACCAGGTTTTTAAAAAGGCGTCGTTGGCGTAGGTGGAGATGTTAAGAGTCGTTGCAGTGGGGGAGGCGGTTTTCAGGAGCATAGTGTTGGGAATGGGAGGGTTAGTTCTCCCTGCATTGCAGCACACCTCATGAAAATCCCCCACACACCCCATGCTTCAGTTAGGTTTTTCTAAAAACACTTTTTTGGCACTCTTTAAAGTTCTTCAGAGCACAGGATAGCATATGAATGATGATCTTTCTGGTGTGGAAGCATAGTGTTCTGGAGAGACTATTAGACCATATTGTTCGAGCTGCCCTCTCCAGAAAATGCCCTTCTCTTTAAAAGGCCTTCACTGGACGCAGTGCAAGAGGGAGAAGGGTGCATCCCATATTTCTGACCACCGATTAGAGAGAATGGATTTTCGGCAGAGAAGTTGTTGGGCCAAATAGAAACGTCTCATTGGTATTCCATTCCAAAATCCGAGCTTTAGACAACACCCTTGCAAAACAAACATTTATTCCCTGTGTTCATTCACTCCTGCTCACAACCAGGCAGGGATGAAGGCCAGCTGTAGATCTAGTGGCTGTCAGCCCCACCTCCCACCAAGTTAGTTACTCACTTCTCAGTACTCACGTCCTCCTAGCAGCAGATCTTCCCCTGAACATATGACAGCAGTCAAAAA